AAATATGGCGATGTTGTGATCTTTGCTCTTTTAGATCCATTTTTGCAGTGTACTACTAAATCTATTTCTTATGATTTGCACTGACTTGGACTAATATTTCATATTTACAATTTACAATTTAAGTATAGTCAGCTTTAAGTTCCAGGTGTATTAAAAAAGGATCACAAGTTTTATCTGTTAGATCAGGAATCTGAAACCTGGCCTTTGTGTGTGTAATTTTTCTTGTTCTTTGCCCCCATTAAAAGGTTGTCTTTATAACAAACAGTGGCCTTTGGTAGCTATGAAAGAGCTATGGAAATACACACATGAGCTTGAAGAATATCAACTGTATAATTATTATTTATCTAAATCTGGTTGCCACCGAAAGGACAAAACAGGAAAGTTGTGGTTAAAAAAAACCCCCATAAAGGATTCATATTAAAACCTTTCTATGAACCATGTGATGCAGGTTTTATAGAACTAAAACCTTTTACCTCTGTGCAATGAACACCATGAAACATGGTGGTGGCAGCATCATGCTGTGTAAATCGTTTTATTCAGCAGGGATGTGAAAGCTGATGGGAAGAAAGATACAAATACGTAATTACGTCTTTAGACCTAAAGCAGCACAGAGACTGTGAAAAGATTTAAAAATAGATAATCGCACCTAGCTGGACAAAAAAAACAAGAAACTGGGAATCACTAGAGATGTGTGTTCTTTCACATAAGTACATTAAAGGAGAATTCCGGTTTTTAACACTTTTAGCCCATTTTCTGTAGTGTCCAGGATGAAATCGAATGATCGACACCAACATTTTGACAATTGGTCCTGTCTCTGCTATTTGGCTCATGCAGAATCCCCCCCTGGCTGCTTCAGAATGGCTTCCATAGTGCATGTCCGATAATGTCCTTAAAACAACCTTAAACGTTCTTTTTTTAAAATATGCTACTCACCGGGTCGTCAGCGCTGTTCAATGACGTTCCAAAAAAAGTTTTGTGAAGAAAAAACGTTCCTGTCTTGTTTTATTTAGCATTTTGTAAATCCCAGAACTATTTTTTCCGATACATCACAACCGCTTATAAACTTCCGCTTCCCATTCGAATCTGAAGCGTTGCACACTCCAGACCACTAGTTGGCGACGGTATCCTCTACCGTCAAACTCAAAGTCCAATATGTCCTCCTCAAGAATCCACCTTTCGTATTCCATTTTCAGAGTTTTTTAAAGTGTTTAACAGAGACGTTAGCACCTCGACGTCGGAGTACACAGAGTGAAGCGAAAAGACTACAACTGTGTAAACAGGCCCCATTTCCGTTTCCGGTGGCAGCGGAATATTGACTATTCCAACAGAACTCAATGGGATTTACAAAATGCTAAATAAAACACTACAGGAACGGTTTTTCTTCACGAAACTTTTTTTGGAACGTCATTGAACAGCGCTGACGACCCGGTGAGTAGCATATTTTAAAAAAAGAACGTTTAAGGTTGTTTTAAGGACATTATCGGACATGCACTATGGAAGCCATTCTGAAGCAGCCAGGGGGTGATTCTGCATGAGCCAAATAGCAGAGACAGGACCAATTGTCAAAATTTTGGTGTCGATCATTCGATTTCATCCTGGACACTACAGAAAATGGGCTAAAAGTGTTAAAAACCGGAATTCTCCTTTAAGTTGTGTGAATAATTTCACTAAACATTGCACGCTGACACCCTGTCAGTTCCGCCTAATTTTTGATTTTTAACAAAAATATAACACTGTGCATTCTGCTAAAAATTGTAAAGCTGTAGATCAGTCAAGCTGTGTCAGTTCATGACATTTCATTTTATGTTTGTCACGGAGAACTGCTAAAAAGGATGAAAGTCCAGTGAAACACGCTGAAATTTCAACATGTATACACACACACATATATATATATAGATCTATATATATATAGATCTATATATATATATAGATCTATATATAGATATCTATATAGTGGCGGTGGGGGGGTCGAGGCAGTATCGCGGGGAAGAAACCCTCTTACTGCTGTCCACGGTGCTTCAGCACCATGGACAGCTACAGCGGATGGAGCTTACCTCGGAGCTCCGCGGGGCCCCCAGCGGACTAACAGGCTCTATGGGGTCAGGCCGCTCCCCCCTCACTAAATGGATGGAGACACGAGTCCGGAGATAATCTGTTTTTTTGTTTTTTGTTTTTTTATGCGCGTGCACGTTTTCCATTTGTCCCGCGCGCTTTAAATTGGCTGTTTATCAGTTTAATATCTATTACAGATCTTATGACTCTAGTTATAAAGCCTTAAACTTATAGAAAAAAAAACTAATCCTGACTTTTTTATGTATTTTCTAAAAATGTGTAACTATGAACAAATGTTGACATTTTATAATGACCTCAAGTTTGAACCCTGAGATGGATTTTTTTGTTGTTTTTTCAACGTTGACGCAGCATCATTTATTCCATTTCCCGGCGTATTTATTGCCGAACATGGCCGAGCTGCGCTGAACCGGCCGAAGAGAAAATGCAGGAACCAATAATCACTTCGCTCCTCCACGAAAATCAAAACCTATTGCATTTCTCATTACCCCCGTTAAATTGTCGAGGGAACTTTCAGGCGCGCGTTTATGAGACAATCAGTGTTTGAATAAGAAACATAGCTGACTGCCCCCCCATCCCTCCCCTCCCGTGAGTGGGAGGCTGAACCCCCCCTAAAATAATTCCCCGTTATCTGACTCACCCATCTCAAATGAAGTCTATAAGCCGGTGTGGGTCTATGCACAAACCCGAACGCCACATGTCTGCGTAAGATAGCATAACACCATTTAAAACTTCAAGGCGACTCACAATATACACTGCAAAACACATGCTGCATATATATATATATATATACAACCTCACGGTAGCAGATGAACATAGAGACAGCCGATTGGTAGGACTGGAGCAGATATTTCATTTGTTTCTGGCCCAAAAATAAAAAATAAAAATTGCTCAGATGATTGCTCTGACTCTGGATGAGGAGGATCGTTTATGCTTGTTTTTCTTTTTACGTTTAGACCTTTTTTTTTTTTCTCCCCTTCACAACAAATATGATGGAAATCTTTTAAGCAGCTGCCGGGTGACGCATGCGCATCTGAAATGACGTGAAGCAGAAGGAGAGAGAAAGGAAGCGATGGAGAGGGCGTGAGAAAGAGACACATGAAGGTAAAATATGGGAATAATGGGAATGACAGAAGAAAGTAAAATAAAAAAAAAAATGAAATAGGGAAACATATTTGGTGCAAGATAAATTAAAAAAATATGTGATTTTGAAAGAATATTTAAAAAATACAGGGATAAAATAGCTTAATAACCAATAAAATAAATCCAACATCTTCACACATTTTAACCAGCATTTCTGATTTAAAAAAAAGAACTTAAGTTATTGATTATTAATATACTTGTTTTGCTTATATAGTCTGTTGTATGCCTAAAGTAGCTTAAAATATGTAATTTTATTTATGATTAAGGAAAAAGACACATGAAGCATTAACTATTTAAATTATAAAGATGCCATGTGGCTTTTTTCAGCAGCTAAGGTGGCTCTTTGCAGGAAAAAAAATACTTCAGCTTGCTCTCATGTATGCATTAAGTGTTTAGCAACATGCTAATGCTAAACTCAGAAGTTTACTAATATTTCCTAAATTAAGAATATTTAATAATAGCAGAATATTGTTGCAAAAAACTGTTTAGGCAGGATGTCTGTAAAAGAAAATGGCTGCTTTTCTCAGAACTTGACTAAAGTTCACCATCAGAGTCACATTGATGTTTGATTGAAATCAAATAATTTCAGCTGCTAATATTCACACCCATGGAAATATTTTTTATAGTGCAATGGAAGAAGAAAAAAGGGACACTTCTCAATGTGTTTCTGATATAATTTATATCAATAGCATGAGACAACATAAAAGCTAATTTGCATTAGCAGTTAAATCATCAATAAGTAGAAGCATTTCCTTTTAATAGCATTTCTAATAGTTGTTTTTTTTATGGGGGGTGGAATCCTAGATCACACAGGCCCACAGAAGCCCGCGGCCATTAGGAACAACCATGGTTTAAAAATTAGCATGTGTAAAATAACCCCTCGCGCCCCGCCCCGCCCCGCGTGCCTCTTTAAAACCACCCTGTCAAAATGGGACATGAACAAAAAACACAGGAGTCCTCCTTCTGGGGTTTTTTGACGTCACATTTTCGGGTGCTTTGTGGTACCGCCACTTTCCCAATGACGACACGCGAAACGGGGCGCGTGCGTCAATGTCAGGACCAGAAAACACGCACGCGCTTCGTTTGGTGCACCTTATAATTAGAAAAAAGGCTTTTTTTTAAAGTAGATACACATAATAGCTATGCAATTCCTAAAGTCATATTTTTTGCCTTTAATTTTCTTTAATTTAAGATTTTTTCCTTTAAATTTTAGATTGAGTGCCTCATTCCAGAGGTTATATCTAATTTCATAAGTGCCCTAAATGTATAGTAAAATTATGATTATTTAATGTTTTTCCTTTCTTTTATTACTCTTGTATTTCTTTTTATATTTTTTCAGTTAATATGAAGTCATTTAACATGACAAACAGGTCTTAGATTTCAGTAAAAACATGAATCCAAATTCCTTAGAATCTTTAATTCTCCTTAAATCAAACTCAGAGTCAGATACAATCACAAAAATAAAATCCAATTATTAAGTTTAGATATAAAAAGTCTTCCTGTATGTCAGTATAGATTGGGACAAAATAATGTTAAGATACTTTTCCTGCCTGAGTCCCATCACCTGCACTGAAGTTTAAGTTGGAAAGATGCTGGAAGCTGCTGCTTGTTGTCAGAAGCTGGAAACAAGGAGGAATCTCGTTAACCCCCCCATCCCACCTACACACCCCTGCTCCCACCTTTTTGCTGCCACCGTCTCTTTGTTTATGTTGTAATGTACATAGCCTATATTTTTCCTCTCTTTCTTTCCTGAAGGTATCCTGAGAGCCGGTCTCTGTGCTGATTGGGCGCCCAGGTTGGTGAGTGAACGCCCTGCAGATTATGTCAGATTGCGTGCAGAAACCAAACCAGCCCAGCCTTTGAACTTCACCGCTTTTGGCTCGTATTCACGCTCTTCCGCTCATTTCCAAGCCAGGTGCTTGACGACGAACCTCACAGAGAGAGAGAAAGTCGTGACAGAGGAGGAGACGGAAAAAAAAGTATATGTTATTATTAATCCTGATAATAATAATAAGGCTGGAGACTTTTTTGATGACCCCTGCAAACCGAATGCGGAGCGTCGCTTTCACCTTGGTGGATTTTTTCAACCTGCGCGCATCTTGCATGCGTGTTTTGGTTTTCCTCCATGCCGCAGGTCTGACAGAGTTTTAAGCGGACTGCAGAGATCGCGCTTCAGTGTTTCACTTCGGGAAGAACTGAACGGGCGCTGGATCTTTCTTTACTTTTCCTCTCCGGTTCGTTTTTGATTTTCCCAGGCGCTGAACATCCTGGCATGACCGATACTTGGCATTTACGCAGGTGAATAGCTTCCCTTCCTTCCGATAGAACTTTTTCCTTGTCGTTACCGCTTGGGATAAAATAAAATAAATAAATAACCCAAACAGGTGAAGTTTGAAGATGTCGAAGCCCGCTGATCACATCAAGAGACCCATGAACGCGTTCATGGTCTGGTCCAGGGGCCAGCGGAGGAAAATGGCTCAGGAGAACCCCAAGATGCACAACTCAGAGATCAGCAAAAGGCTGGGCGCGGAGTGGAAGCTGCTGTCCGAGTCTGAGAAGAGACCGTACATCGATGAGGCCAAGAGGCTGAGGGCGCAACACATGAAGGAGCATCCAGACTACAAGTACCGACCCAGGCGCAAACCCAAAAACCTGCTGAAGAAGGACCGCTACGTCTTCCCCCTGCCTTACCTGGGAGACACCGACCACCTGAAGGGACTGCCCGTGTCGGCCGCTGACTCCCTCCTGGGCTCCTCGGAGAAAGCCCGGGCGTTCCTGCCCCCCACCTCCGCCCCCTACTCTTTCCTCGACCCGAGCCAGTTCAGCTCCAGCGCCATCCAGAAGATGACCCAGGAGATGCCCCACACGTTGAGCACCAGCACTTTGCCCTACGCCTCCTCGCTGGGATACCAGAACGGCGCGTTCGGGACCCTCGGGTGCCCCAGCCAGCACACCCACACCCACCCGTCGCCAACGAACCCGGGCTACGTCGTGCCGTGCAACTGCACGGCCTGGTCGGCGTCAAGTTTACAGCCCCCCGTGGCTTACATACTGTTTCCAGGTATGACCAAGACTGGGATAGACCCCTACTCATCCGCACACGCCACTGCCATGTAACCCCCCCACCTTAAAGACTCTCACCCTGTTTTTAAAGTCATTTGAATACAGAGATGCATGTAAATAAAACAGCGCGGCCCGTTAGAAGGCATGATCGGTGTTATCTGAAGGGACGAAAAGATGAAAAACTTTAAATCCAACAAGTTCCTGAGAAGCAAAGGAGCTGCAGTTGGATGTGAAGGACGGAGCGCAGTGAACTGTAAGAAATGTAAATGTTATAACTTTTATGGCAACCAGAAAAAAAAAAATGGAGGCCTTTAACTTTATTTATTATGTACATTTCAATGATATGCTGATTTGTGTTGATGATTCTGATGTAGGCTACACGTTTTATTTGGAAAGGGGAGAAAAATTTGGCTTTGACAATTACAGAGCAAATACCTGCGTTTGCAGAATAAGTCTACTTTTTTTCTTTCTTTTTGCAATTTTAGGATGTGAATCTGAAGATATGATCAACATTCAGACTCATAGGCTGCTTTTTATACGGGTTTAATTGTTTATATTAATCAAAAGTAATAAAAAAAAAAGAAAAAAAGCATAAAAGTAGACCGTCTATTTAAGCTAAAAAAAAAAGAGGGCAAAGCAAAATATTTGGTTTTTACATTTTTCCATGTGGTTCAGTGATAATATAGTCCCTATCATCATTTCAGTTTTTATTCTTTAGTTCATTTTTTTTTTGAATTCTTTTAATTTTTAAGGATATCTTCAAATTGAATTCAAGGAGTTCTATGTGTATTTTCTATCTGAGATGGTACTTTAAAGCTGTCATGTTATGGAAAGGATCCTGTATGGTAGGTTGATACCTCCTGCTCTTTGTTCAAGTGCTGAGCAAAGACTTTTTGAATAAAGACAATCTGTCTTCAACCAGATCAATTCCCTGCATCTGTAGATATTAATATGATATTTGCTGTTTAAGCAGCTAAAAAAATAATAGATCGGAATAAAAAAAATCTAAAAATGTGATTTTATAATATAATATATTGTTTTTTTCATGATACACAATTAAATCTGGATTAATTTTTGCATTTATTTTAACTTGGATGGGATTTTTCATTAATGGATTTCTAAGTTTAAATTTTTTAAGTTGAAAAGCAAAACAACAAAAAGGAAAAAAACAGAAACTAATTCTATAAAGTCTAACTAATTATAATATAATCCAGTTTATCAAATTATGTTAAAAGAAACAACACAAATAATTTTTAAGATGAAACAATTATTAAAAAAAATAGAATAAAAAGAAGTTTTTCCAGACTGTATCTTAATTTTAGCTAAAATTAAACCTAATTACGGCTCTAAACTTTCATTTAATTGCTGTATTTATCCATAAAAAGCTATAAAATTATATCCATTTTAAACGATCAACACAAGGAGTTTAATTTGATTTCCTGAATAAAATCTAACCATATTGTTAGAATCTCGCCTATAATGAACTGGATTTAATCCCGGATATGAACCACCTCCCAAAATGAACAATAATCTTAAAATTAATCCCTTTTTTTATTTGGTTTTCTCTTGTTTCCTCCTCGGATTATTTTCTCAGCAGCACCTAAAGTCTTCCGCTTTTACCTGCTTCTTTATTTTATTTTTTTCTCAGTGATGATGATTGATGCTGCTGCAGCAGCAGCGGCTCCGGGCGTGTTGCGCTCTGCAGACGGTGAAGCTATTTTCTGTGACACCGCCTGAGATCAACCGGTTTTCCTTTCTTTCTTTTTTATGTTTTGATGTTTGACAGTTCACAACAAGAGGCCTTCCCCTGGAGGGATTCCGCCCCGTCCGACCCGTTTGACTGCTTAATCACTTCTAGGAGCCGCTTAATTATACCTTTAACTATTTAGCACAAGCTGAAAGCGATGGGAGGTTTTTTTTTTTTTAGTTTCTTTAAAAGCATCATGCATCCATTGCTAAATAATCCAGCCTGCAGACTGAATGCCCACTAGTCCGCTTCCGTTGCGGCCGACATGCAGGACATGAGCGGGAATCGAACCCGCATCTTGTTGTTGATGTTTTATTCTTTTGTTGAAATTCAGATGACAGTTGAGCTTTTTCCATGTAGTTGGCTCACATTCATAGTGTGGGCATTAATTAAAAGAAGGAAACATGGCACATTCAAATTATTTACTTATCTGCCAAGAACATATGGCAGAGCGGCCCCCGTTCTGCCCGGGGTGCAATCCAGTCCTGGGGAGGGAGGCGGTGGGAGTATGGTGGTAAGGGGGGGGTAGTTTTTTCTCTTTTCCTGTGACAGACTCGAGCCTTATCTGCAGCTGTAAATTAGGATGATACCTCATTGAACCCAAGTTTTACATCAGCCCCCTGAAGCATCCTAATTCAGCTCAGAATAATTACTTCCAGAGCTGGAGCCGCGCAGTCGGTCAAATCTAGAGGAGAAAAAACGCTTTTGTTTCAGCTCTCAGATTCACTCACCACACCTGTAATTATCCAACTTAGTCACGGGAATTTGACTGCGGTTACAACTCCCTGCAATAAATACAGATAAAAAAGAAAAACGGCATCGGAGAGGAATATAATGGGAGGGAAATTATGATTTGAAATTATAGCAGGGGGGGGGGGGGGGGGGGGGGGTGCATTTAAATCTCTCCTTCTTTTTACCCCCCCCTTTTTTTCCCCCGACGTTTTTATTGCCGCACAACAGAGAGAATTCAATCCTCCTTATCTCTGCAGGACTCCTTTTCAGCGTCAGATCAGAGAGGAGAGAAAAAGGAGAGGATAATTGTTCTTTATTTTATTTCATTTAACGCGACAGCCGCCGCTTTCAGGTCATTTATATGCTTCATTTAGCGATAAAAGTCAACGAGGGAGGGGGGCAGAGGAAGGTGCCCGCTTTGACTTCTTCTTTATTTCTTTTTTACACACTTAACTTAAAAAAAGAAAGAATCAGATGGAATAAAATGGAGACTGTGGGAGGTAGGGCGTGTTTAATTAATTTCCATCATTGTGCTTTAATTTAAGCTCCTGAAATCAAAACAGGGAACAAACTTGATGAGAGATTTTCCTCTAAATCAAAGTTTTTTTTTTAACAAGGGAGATGATGTTGGCAGAGTTTCAGCGCCAGATTAGTCCCAATATATAAGGAAAGGAGGGAGGGGGGGGTCTCATTTCAGCATATTAAATATTGTC